AGAACTCCATATTCTGCTGGTGACTTTAAAGGCCTGATATTATCTTTGATTAGCTAGTTATTAATATATTCTTATAGTATCTGTAATTCTTTTTTAGATATTAGATAAATCTTTCTGTATACTAATAACTTTTTTTTCTTTATAAGAATAGTATGGTCATGCTTTCCGTACTGAGGTAATTCAGGTTACTTTAACTGTTTAAATAAATTCTTGAATCTCTTATACTGTGGTGGAATCTGCGCGTCACTCTTAATCATAGCTAGAAGTTCCTATGAATCTTTTAATCTCTGGATAGTTATCTTGATCTCTATATTAGAGCTGTTAATACTGTACTTGTAGTACTTATTTATTATTATTAGTATCTATTCTGATAGTTTTATAAACCAATCTCTCTATAATGGCTTGGTTACTGTTATTACTTATATGATTATACTTGAAATGTTATTTTCCTCTAAGTTATTTCTAATGCCTGGCGTGTTAGGCTTTTATAGCGATCTCAATCTTCTCTTACTAGATTGCTTAATCCTTGCTTCAACTCCTTGCTAAGTAGCGGGCCGTACAGATCTAGACTCTATACCTGGTCCTTGCTGGTGTTGTCTTGGGTAATCATAATTCGTGAATTAGAGATTCTCAGTCTTTTAATTAATCTATGGATTATGATTCCTGAGCCATGGAATCTTTAACATAATATTATACTGTCTTAAAGATATTATGTTAAAGTTTATATACTTATAGTGGCTCTTTACAGTCATAAGTATGATTCCTGACTTAACTATTAATGTGAGAGTTTCTAAATTCTCTCTGTTTAGTTCTGTAATCAGTTTGAGTTCTTCTTTCTATTGTCTAAGTATCTTAAGCTGTTATATAAATCCTGGGTGTATGAAGTTTCTAGTTGCTCCAGAGTCTACCAGTATTTGGATTAATTAATTTAATATAACTGTTTAGATCTTCAGATATGGCTCTGATTTTATAACTATTAATTACTGTTCTGGCCAGTTAGGTTCTAACTACTGTAAATATCTTCTTAAAAACCTTGAGCCTTCTATCTTTACTGTATAGTATATTATATACTGATTATTAAAACATGCTAGCCAATATATTAATCTATGGTAAGGATATCTCTGGTACTCTTTATATATATAATCAAAGATATTATATAGATAGTAGCTTATCTTAGCCTTAACTACTTCCAGTATTCTAGATCAGTAGTTAGTGATATACTTCTAATCATGATATATTAAGCATATATTTATATAACATATAAGCTAAGAAAGTTTATCATATCTTTAATAATTTCTGCTTTCTTTAAAATAAATATACAGACATGATTTATCATATCAAGACTCTGTTCCAGCAATATTTATCTTTTAATTAATCTTTAATAACTGGTAATGATAGTCCGTGTTGTCCTATCTACATGTTAAACAAACTTCTGGATAATAAGAACATCTTTGTAAATATTATTTCTAAGTCTTATTTCATGATTCCTAATATTTTAAATCCTAATATAAGCAATGCTGCATGATTATCTTGAGCTCTGGACAGAATTATGCTGGATTTTTCAAGATCTCTTTCAAGATGCAGTCTAACTAATAAGTAATATTTTCTTAATTATTCTTCTGGTTCTTCTTATCCTTATCTCACTGTAATAAACTAAGTTTACTAATTTTTAATAAAGGTTTTTCAGAGATATCAGGTATCTCACTGAGTCTCTTTTTACTGGGTTTAAGATCTTCAAGCAGTGTACCGTACTCTTTATCTAATGATTTATTCTTATCTCAAATTATACTGGGATAGTCATTCCTTAAAACTGGCTTATAATTATTATTATTGACTTCTGTAGTCCAAACTAATAATATAGATAATTATTAATCCTCTTATTAACTAGATAGTATTGTTAACTTATCCGGGGTAGCCTGTTATCTTAACCAATCACAGTACATCCTGTTCTCTAACAGTCAATTATATTGAATAATATATAGCTTCTTATTACTTAATATCTATATTACAGATTTTATCCAAACTTCGTGCTGAATAGTGGTAATATTATAGACTTCTCTACCTTGATCTTGGTTTGTAGCTCTTAATTGCTTTTAAGGTTGTTACTGTTTCTGACTATAGTTCTTTAACTGGTGACCTGCTTTGCCGCAGCTAAAGTATAAGCAGTTTTATTTACACTGTTCGAGTTTCTTCTTAAACACTCGAGTCTGTTGAGTCTGATGCTGTGCTGTATCCAGCTCCATTGGTTTTAGTCTATAGAAATCTTCATATCCCAAGCTTCTAGGTTATGCCGATCTTCTGTTATTAGCTCGGTAACCTGGCTGATTATTGTATTAAGATATAGACCTGCTAGTCTACCAACCCTCTCATTATTTCATGTTAAAGTTATACAGTTTATTATCAATCTTTACTACTGCTTCAATCATCTTGGTCAAGGTGTCCGATTATTCTTACTAAATAATTTTTTCTTAGATCTCCATCTTAAGTCCTTCTTTAAATTGTAAGATATAAGTATCATCATTCCAGTCCAGGTAACTGATAACTTACTAAAACTTTAAAATATACGCAGATACTGATTCTATCTGCTTAAGTTATTATAACTTTTATTCAGTATTTTATGCCGCATTAATATCTCCAAATATCTATTCAAGATACTGTTTAAATCTAATATAACTAGTAAAAAATCGTTTCATATTATTATCCTGATTACTTACTAACTTCTCTTATCACTCGTGGATGTATGATTTAAATTAATCAAATGCCGCTCCAGTAAGGTAAGTAAACATGAAAAAGATCTTATCCTTCTTATTCTTAAGCTTTTTCTTGTTCATGTTAAGATACAAGTCTAACTGGGTCAAGAAAGCTCTGAGCTTTGCTCGTTTGCCGTTAAATGGCTCAGATAGTCAGATCTTAACAGATTTAACTGATAAGCGATCTTCGAGTAACTAGTTCTTTTATTTTAAGGCGGTGATGCTTTCTTGTAGCTGACTAACCATGTCCATCAGTTCCTTGGTTGTCAGGCTCTGCTGCTGAGGCGCTTACGATGTGTTTGATATAGTTGATATAATGACTGATTGTTACTGAGTAACACTCGTACTGACTGGTGCTGAATGTGTCAAACCCTAGGATCGCTTCTCCCTGTTCCTGTTAGCTTAGCTCCCGTTCCGATACGTACCTTGTGAACTGAATCAAAGGTAAGTCAGGCTGATGACTATCTAAAGATGACTGGTCTAAATAGAAGAAGAAAAGTAAGGCCAGATAGTGCCGCGCAGCTATCTGTAAGTAAGTGCGGACAAGTATTGTTATTAAGCTTTACCAAAACATAGGTTACTTAAAGACAGTGTTATTCAGCACGAAGAACAGAACTAGCTAAGTACATGAAAGAGTGTCCTTATATCCTATTCTTTGTATACCATTTCGTATACTATTCAGGGTAGATCAAGGGTCGATCTAATCACGTTCCTGGATTCCGTATACCATATCATATACTCTTAATGGTAGATCTGATGGTAGATGATCACGTGACACAGCGTTACCTCGGGTGTTACCCCAACCGGGATCTTACTCAATAAGAGTTGCTGGCTGCCCGAGTCCTTCCTGGTCATTACCTTTCTGCCTGACAAGTCCGCTTCTGCTAGTAACCTGGCTAGCAGGGGTCTGTAACACCATGGGTCTACTCTTATTTAAATTAATTATTTTAATAACTTCTTAATATAAAGACTTTATATCATTTATATGATTTATATGATTTATATAATTTATTCAGATTTTAATTATTAAGTATTATTAATCATATAATATAATTAGCTGGTTAGTTAGAGCTGCCATTATGGGTATACTTACTTAGCTAATCACAGCTAAGAATGAAAGAGAAAATAGATGATACTTAATTTTATATTACTACCATCTTGCAGATAATCAAGAACTGAACTTACTAGTGATTATTTCATAAAAAACTAAGCATAGAAAGGAGAGCTAACTATATTAATATACTGTAAAATAAAGTCCTTCTAACAATACTAGTCCTAAGAAAGAAAGCAGTATTGCAGATGTACTGGCAGAACCCATTAACCTTACAATCACACTATACTAAACTCACCTTTCAGCTTTTTTCATCAGATTCCACGCTAGCAGTCGTGACAGTATCTCTATTATAATGAAATATATAAAATCTCTAGATATTTATTTATTATTAATCTATTCTTACTGTATTAAATTAATTAAGAATAATATATTAATATAATCTGCTCCAATCAGGATAGATAATACTTTAATCTTATTTTTATCTTTAAAGAAAGTTTCTAAAATAACCTGTTTAATCTTAATTAATAATATATGACTGATAGTTCTCTACCAAGATACTCTGTAGTTATGGTTACTTTAATCCTATTTCTTAACACAGTACTGCGGACATACATACTGCATGTGGACTTTTATTACTGTTATTAATGGGCCATTTCCTGCAATTTTAGAACAGATAAATATAGCTTAAGACTATAATATAAGCTTATAATCATCACACTCCTGCTGGCTGTACAGGTCTTTACTCTCTTTAAACTTTCTCTTAAGCTTCCAGATAGACCCCGCAGGAAAAAGAAGTTCTAGACTAATATAATCATTCTTATTAAATTAGATAATATTTAATGAAATCTTTATAATCTGCCAGGGTTTTAACTAGGAGAGTTAAAAATGGTTAAGGATTTGCTAAATTGTGGTTAACTGGGGAAAGTTATGACTCGCAAACTTGGTGCGGTAGCGGACTTGGCCAGCGGATAGCAAAGCCGGTCAACGTTCAAAATATATCCAATCGCTTATATATAAAGAGAACCTCATATATAATTCTAAACCATCACAAACAGGAAGAGAAAATACAATAATCTAAGAGAAAGTGAATATAGAAAAGTATCAAACTTTAATAAAGAATAGATATTTAAGCCTGGATGTTAACATTGCAGGACTGACCATTATATGGTTTAGCCATAGATCACCAACAGAATAAAGGATTGATCATTTTCCAACATAATCAAACGTTTTTGTCTGGTGGTTGTACACGTAGGCATATTCAGCCACGTCAAATCCCCAGTCTCCAACGACTTTGGTACTCGCGCTGCACAGATTACCTTTATCCTTGGCATTGAATGCCTTGCAATAGGGTCTACTCGGAAACAAGTTAGATCGGCACATCCATCTCGCCCTGAAAGATCTACCGGGTGGTTAATGCGGTTGTTAAAGGATCACTCACCCAATTATTGCTGTTTTCCCAGGCGTAACTTTGAACCCAGTAATCTCAAACCAGGATCTGTCCGAGCCTTTTGCGGTCGCATTGTATGACTGTATCTTGTTCTTGCTGTAGAAGCTGTGCAACGAGTTTTTCTGCTCCTCCTGCGAGTTCAGTGTGACCCCCACTAGGATTGCACTACAGGTCACCATCAAACATCACACTGTTAGTCCTACTTCTGAATGTACACTGCAAGACCAAGTCGAAGAGAAAACATACCCAGCTCCCCCGTCAACGGTGGATGCGAAGGGAAATTCTTCTGCTGATACCCATCCTTGATTATTTGCCCAGGTACTGGTAGGGGGGCTGGATTTGATCCCATACTTGGCCCGGTGTACAAAGGGTTGCTTTTTGGCGGCACTGCCGTTCTTTACCTGTCGGTGCTTATCGGCTGCTTTGGTGTCCGTCTTTTGCCTAGATCTAGATCAGCGAACTGGGAACACCTCAGATATACCGGACTTGGGGTTGAATTTTCCGGATAGAGTCACATTATTGCAGGCTTGCCCTTGCATAGCATGGCCCAGCAGTCCACATCATAGGTCAGGGCATCTTCTCCGCGGATCTCAATCTCGGCCTGGATAGGATTGCTTTTGGTGTTCCCTACGGTGGAGCGTGCTTCGAGGGGTTTAGCAGTACCTGTGGGAAAAGCAAGGACTTGGTAAAAGCCTGGAGCCCACAGAAGGGCTGTGAGGAGCACAATGGCGGTTCTCATTTGTATCAAGATAGCTAAGTAGTGGTTAAGTGAGTGATTGTGATGGTTGATACTCTGCCTGCATCATGTCTTTCTCTTGCTGTATATATAGTCTTTATATTTCAGGGGCATAGTCGCCTAGGAAGGTTGAGTCAGACATAATCTGCCATCGACTCAGTAGGTGTGAAACATATTGCGTTTCTCTATTGCCGGGATTGATGCTGGTGAGCTGAGAGTACCAGGCTATAGTAGGGTGCCTTTCTGATGCGAATCACAATTCGGACCGGACCCCAATGGGGCGGTTGGTGTTGGGGATTACAGCCATAGCAGTGTTCTGGAGTGAATTGCCTCGCCCCCAAAGCAATTGTGATTCAAACCAGAGCAGCTTACTAGATTTATCTTTATATAGTACTAGTAGTTATGAAAATGGTGGGGGCGGACCTATCCACCGTCCCACCGCGGCTAATCCTTGCCGGTTAGGCAGCGAGGCTGTCACCTGTCAGCTCAGCCCTGTCCGCCTTTTCCCTTCGCTCATCCAACATCACTTTTTCTCAGCGTCAATCGCCCATCGCAATTACCCACCGCCACTTCCCATACTCTATACAGCCATGTCTGTCTTCTTCCTCTTCTGTACCGCAGACATGCCAGCCAGCGTATAATAGCCGTCCCCTACTCCCCTGTGACAACTATAACCCCGCTAATCTTGTTTTCTGACCCCCGCAGATGTTGAACGATTTCATGAACCAGTTCCGCCAATACCACAGTGAAGATTGTCCCAACTTCTTCTGTGTCGTCCGTACCCCAGATCAAACCGACTTTGGCCCGTGGGGCACCGAACTCCCAATCAGTGACTTTTCCACCGGCTTCCAGAATGCGACCGATGCCGAGCTCCGTCTCTTCGCTCGGAACAAAATCTCACAGCTCAGCGACGAAGGAAGGCTAGGGGTGCTGGAAGATTGCTGGATCGCCATAATGGATGAAAATTCGCGACAGGATGGAACCGTAGTCATGCAGTTTAATAAAGAACTATCCATGTGGACCCAGGATTTGGAAGATGCAGAAGAGCCATTTGAGATCCCGGGTGATACGGATGTGTCGGGGGACAACATCTGGTGGAAATGGCGAGTTACATTCGCAGGCGCCCCGCAGCTGTTTAATAGTGTGAATGATGGTGATCCTGTTATGATTCGGTTGTATTCGCGCCCGGAATACAAAGACGAGGACGGAGTGATTGATGTGGACATTCCTCGAAAAATTATCCGTGGGGAAATCAAAGATCCAATTAACCAGGAGAAGAGTTGAGCGGGTAAACAGGTGTGATGGGTTGTTTAGCTATTTACTTAATGCTACCTACCGTGGAGTCGAAGTATCCGTGGTGCTGAAATTAGTTTAACTAGATTGAACACACACACACACACACACACTGAGGATATTATCCCATAATCAAGTGTCGGCGTGAGACAGGAGCAGCTTCATCTAGGCCAGGAGATGAGTTTTGGCAAGATCTAGGACCAGCTAGACTTGCTTTTTCTTCGTGGCCAGTATCCGTAACAGAGTACATCACGAACGAAAGCGGAATGAGATCATCAGTTCTCCGCGGACATTATCTGTTGTGTAACAGTGGTAGGTCCGTGAGAAACAGCCATCGGTTCCAGTAAACGGGAACTCATGGGTGCTTTGGAACAGGATTGCAAACAGAAATCATCTATCACAGTGTTTTCGGTCATTTTCTATACGCTGCCCTGGCTATAAATGCAAGGTCATATTTTCTAATTTATCCCATCTCCAACCTTCTCTCATAAACTATTGTTTCAGTTGAATCACCTGTGCTCTGCTTATAGGAATTTGACGTCCTTGACCCAATGCCACCCAAGCCAGAACCCAATGACTGCGATGGTTAGGTACCAAACCCAGGACGTGACCACAACGGTACATTTCATTCCCCTATATATCTGATGAAAAGGGGAGATGATGGGGGTAAAGACCTGCTAACTCCCCTTTCGTTCCTTCATAGACAAATACGATGATAAAATAGCCAACAATGTCATCAACTCCACCCACATCTTACATTTCACCTTACCTCCGGAGCCCGGAAAATACCCAACTGTGATCCACCTAATCGGTGGAATCATGAAATCCTTTAAAGCATCCGATGAAGACGAAGATGTCTTATATGCTCACGGCTACATCCCCGAAGCAGTCACGCAGCGTATTCCAGCCCCTCCAGATGGCATTCGCGTGTGTATTGCAGCCAGCAAGGTGTACAGTTATTACTGTGGGTATACACCGTTTAGTCACGGGATTACGTTCCAGTCTGCTGTGATTCATGGAGTCGCCCGGGTGATCGAGTATACCGGGACCACTTCGCAGTGTAAGGCGATGGTTGGGGAGGACGAACACCTGGAGGAAGAGAAGTTGTGGGCACTGCACAATATCGTCGGTGGGATGTTTGGTGGCGACGAGAGGTGGAAGGATACTCGGCTTCCGTTTAAGAATGAAGAAGTGAAGCGGGTGTTTGTGCTTCGAGTCGATATTGATAGGAACGCGTCCGAGGTGCATTCGCGTCAGGGGATCTTCGGCCTCGAAGCGGGCTGGGAGTATTCCGATTCAGGAGATAACTATTGGGAGGGTGCGATTCCAATTTGGGAGACCTATGGGGATCTGATCAAAGGAAACACTGGAATAGACCAGAGTCCGCAGTATCTGGTGGATCTTTTCGATAAGAGAAAGGGTGATAATAAGGCTGTTGCTGAGGAGGAAGCGAAGAAACCGTATCAACCGTGAGACTGTGGTCAGTTGAAACCCGGGGGGTAGTTCTTATTTGTTTTTGTTTTTTTGAAGTCACCTTTTGAAATGGAGACTTGCTTTGCTTACCTGAACATATTCAGGCTGCCATTCAAGAATAGACGGAATTCAGTAGGAGAAAAGGGGCACCCCTTTCGTGTAGACATTCAGTACGAAAATACGCGACGGCATTTTCCAAACAATGCCAGAGGGTCTAGTACTTGGCTCTCTTTCAACGGGTGGCGGGTTTAAAGCAATGGCTGGGGCGCATCTCCGAAATCTGTACACTCCTCATGCTTAATTCACATTCGCCTCTATTCCAATTGACCCAGTCAACCATCTGTGGGCCAATCCAAGATAATCGGTACACTTGTTCTATGTAATATGCGGGCCTTGGCAACCAGAAACCTAGCGGAATGCCGGGGGTTTACAAGCTCAGCTGCTTACCACCAAGCCACATGTGGTGTTTAGAGAAGAATGGGCCCCCAGTATTGAATTTTTGAGACTTGGACTGTTCAGGATACAATCACGGCTAAACACTGGAGAGAACAATCTTCCATAATTAGAGCTTGCGCACAAGTGCTTCCCCCTGCAGGTACAAAACCCCTGGTTTAAGGCACTTCCTATCCTTCTTATTATCAAAGTAAACCTTGTTCTTTTCAAATAATAGAATATAATCCGATCCGCTGTATTTGAGAAGACCTAACTCATCTTCTTTCTTGATTTTAGTACTCTCCTAATCTTTTGCTTCTTTATAATCCTAATAGATAAAGAAGATTTATATTATACTAACAGCGAATAATACTATATATCTTATATTAATATTCTTAGAGTCCATCGTATCAAAGATCCATATCCCACAGACTTGATTCCACTGATACCCTGGGTAGTCCTGAACTTCGACATCACCGCCGCCTAGAGCTGGATTTAGCTTTGGCATCATTCGTCGCAGTGGAGACAGTAACGTCTGTTTTTTCTCATCTATGGTCATCTCAAGATAGACATCTCTGGAAATTATACAGCAGATAATAACCTTTCCACTGATTAAGACATGAATATAATAATAATTATTCAGTGAAAGGAATAAATATATAAAGATATTATTATTAAACCTTTTAATCAGATTATCAGGGACATCTTGTAATAGTTTAATAATTAGCTAGTTAAATCTTTTCAGATTAACAGTTTTAAAGCTGAAATTAATACTTCTTTTATTGATCTTCTAGTAAAGATTAAACTTAGTATTATACAGACTGGTAACAGTATTTTAATAATTAATTAATTAGTATTCTGCTTTTACTTTCCGAGAAAAAACTTGTTGAAGTTCTTCTAGCTGCCTTCAGGTTTCTTATATTAATAGACTGTGTATTTAGGGTTATTAATAAATATTAAGACTAACTTAGTAGAGTCTTTTATATTTGTTTATTTTCTAAGACTATTTACAAAATCATAAAATTATCTGAATAAATTAATTTATTAATTAATATAAGCTAAATTGATTAGCATCTATAAGTCCATTATGGATTTCTGATTAAAGATAAAGTAAAATATTGAAAGTATCTAGAGTAGTATATTGCGGATAGAAATAATGGACAGAACCTATTTTACATAGCAGTTACATAAATCAAGAAAGGATCTCACAGTCTTAGTATCTGATACCCCTTGGTAGATCTGGGCTTCAAGAAGGTCCTTCTTAGCAGTATCAAATACACGCCTAATTCCTTCAGTAAAGATGCTTTCCCAGTGCTCGTTCTTGGGATCATGGATCATGTTATAAAGGTCCCCGACAATTTTCTCGTAATGTCAGCCATGGTGGAGGACGTGTTTCGGATGTTTCTGTTTCTGTAATTCTGACAGACAGCTTGATGATTTCTTTGATCTCATCTGATTAATGCTACTTCTTTGATGATTGAACAGGGGTTTTATAGCAGAAATACCATCGTCCTTCGGCAACCACCGTGAATTCTCACCACATACGATGACGATGATTCCACCACTCCTCAGTGATCATTGTGAAGTCTGTCGTTCACTGTTACCTTCAACCCTCACCAAAGGGTTACTCTGGTCCATTGCAAGGAAGGAACTCCCGCCACACTCTCAGGTTATCATGATACGTCAAGCTGCTTTCAGCGACGGTTACATGGTCCTCCAAGATAAAGAAAGATGTCATGGTAACGCAATAAATGATATGCTGCCCATCAACCCTTGAGCGCGGTGCAGTCATTGCCCGTTGCGGTTTGCCATGTAACACAACATTCCCAACACACATTCACTCTACCTGTCACTCCGCGGAGTGGATCCGTGTATGACCAATCCACTTTCTATTGGAATTGATCTGCTCTAAGGAATCAGAATGGCGTGGCGCAGCTGGGTCGATGCATCCGGCCTTACTATGATCACTTTACGGGTGGTGAGGTCACATAGTCACATAGTCACTCAGGTAATGACGCCCAGCTACTGTAATTATATTGAATGTATGCAGTCTGATCAATCTGGTAATCATTTCTCATTGGTCGGACAGTTTGCAGAACTTCCGGTCATGTTGACTGGTGCATAATAATGACGCAACGAAGACACTTCCGCCCATACCCCAGTTAAACCTCCCTTCGGTGTCGCTTGAGTGCATCTTCATTGTAAGTGACCATTCGCAGCCTTGCCTCTGACAATGATTGCACCCAAAGGTCATTGGTGCGGTTCTTCTTTCTGAGCTGGTGCGTGCCCAGTACCCCCCAATGCTAGAGAGGTTGATAATAATCAACTCTGAACTCCTTTCTGGAGTTAATATAACTTATAAAAAGATACTAGTAAGAAGAAGTCATTGTGTAGCTATTATCTAGCTACTTAAACCTAGTCTCTAGGATAGCATCTGCGACTCGACCTCGGATTCATATACTAGATATATTAACTTTCTAAAGAATATAATGAAGAATATAATCTAAGACTTTTCTATTTACTTATTTCTCTGGTATTTCAAGTCTTAGTCAGACCCTAAAACTTTACTATTATCTATATAACTGCAAGATAGATCAGAAGGATTCTTCATATTTAGTACTTTTATAGAAAATAGTTCTTACAATATTATAAAGGACTCTCAAACCACACGCCCAAATAACTATGCCTGGACTAAGTATATTAATATATTATATATTAATTAATCAGTCCAGACTAGCTTTAGCTATGATATCTTGACTAATAGAACTCTAAATCTGATTAATAAAAATATCACCCCGGATTCTTCCTCGTAAGGTTTATTAAACAAGATAAATATATTTAGTAGCTAAATACTAATATTTACTATTGATATCACTGTTAATACTGTATAGTATCTTTAGAACTTTGTCTAAGTCTGGTTTTATGAGTTTGAAGTCTACAAGTCTAAATCCCAGAATAACCGAGTCAGCCTTTGAACTGAGTTATATAGTGATTATTATAATCCTAGTTTCATTATATACTTCTATCAATAAAATGAGAATCTTAATAATAAATATATTAATCTTTTAATACAAGAAATATCTAATCCAGACTATACTTATAATAAAAATACTTTCAGTATTATTATTATTAATAAATCTTAATATAATACTATAATTAAAGCTTACAGCAGGCTAGGCAGTTATAAAAAGCAGATTAAAAATTATTTTCAACTTATTAAAGAAAAAGATCTAGATATATATAATAAAATACTAGTTAGACTACTATATTGTATCACACTCCAGCTTATTTGCTAACAGACTTCAGGATTTCTATAGCTTAGATTATTTTTAAGGTATTCCAGGTTATTATTATTACTGTTAACTTTAGAGGGTTCAAGAAAATGATTTTAACTAATATCTTTTTCTTGTATTACTATCATATACTTAAAAGAAAATAATCTCTTATAGTATATCACCCTGGTAGTTATACAGATTACTTAATTACTATAACAATATTATGGTTATTAATCAGATATAATACCATGATAAGAAATATCAAGCCTCCTGTCAAACCCTAGGATCGCTTCCCTGTCCCGGTTAGCTTAGCTTCACTGGTATACGTACCGTCGAACTGGGTCGAGGTGGTATCAGGCTGATGACTATCTAGGAACAACTGGTCTTGGACAAGAGAAGAGAAGTAAGGCTGAATAGTGCCGTGCAGCTATCCATAAGTAAGTACAGATGAGTATTATCATTAAGCTTCCAAGTATATAGTTACTTAAAGATAGTAGTATTAAGCATGAAGAACAGAACTAGCTAAGTATATGAAAGAGTGTCCTTATATATCCTATTTTTCATATACTAAGTTGTATATCTTCCTGTATACTGTAGACTATATACTATATACCTGTTCATATACTGTCCCATATACCTATGATCACGTGATGCGTAGCTATTCTGGGCATTGTATTAGCAATCCGTGATTATACCAGATAACAGTTTAGTTTGCCTGAGTGCTGCCCTTATCGGCGCTTTCTGCCTGGCAAGTTCGCCTTACTAGTAGGTTAACTAGCAGGGGTCTGTAACATTACTTCCCCTTTTTCAAGATTTCTTGTCCTTAAGAAACATAAAGATGTGTATCCCCCTGTGTATATTGACTGGGTCTCTTTAGCTTTCTTTTCTCTTTTAAGATGGGTCATCATGTTGAAGCGCGATAAGTATACTGATAATAAATATTTGGCTAATAGGATTAAAAGTTCTGATTGTTCTGTTAATATTCTGTGTGACTTTTACTTTACTCAAGGAAAGGTTTATATTATGAGTTTGACTACTTAAAGCAAGAAATGTTTAGTCTGTGCTTTGCACGGTTACAAGTGTGAAAAATAATTCCACAGTGAATCTGAGTAGGATAAGTTAAAACATAATGAAGAGAAGGTCACGGCTAATCTTGAAACGGTCTAAAAGCAATTTATACAGTATTCTGAAAAGATAAATCAAGTAATGATAAAGATTCTCCGCTTGTAAAAGTATCAGCAATTTCTAAAAGATTATAGTGATTAGATGTTAGATCATGACTCTGAGATATTATAGTATTTGGATGAGGATGATTTTTCAAGCATTAAGAATCTCTGGAAGCTGGAGTATCTAGCTAATAAGCATAATACTGCTTAACTTGCTGCTATGTCAGATGATCCTAGTCTGACTTAGTTAGTTGGTTTTCCTTTTTTCTAGATAAATGTCAAACCCTAGGATCGCTTCCCTGTTCCTGTTAGCTTAGCTTCACTGGTATACGTACCTTTGAACTGAATCGAGGATGTATCAGACTGATGACTATCTAGGAATGACTGGTCGTGAACAAGAGAAGAGAAGTAAGGCTGAATAGTGCCATGCAGTTATCCATAAGTGAGTGCAGATGAGTATTGTTATTAAGCTTCCAAACTTATAGTTATTTAAAGATAGTAAGATTGAGCATGAAAAACAGAACTAGCTAAGTACATGAAAGAGTGTCCTTATATATCCTATCCTTCATATACCATATCATATACTATCAGGTCTGTCACATACCAGTATGGTAGTCATAGACCGTGATGGTATACCGCATACCATGAGCTTGTCTGTATACCGTAGTCACGTGATGCATGGCTCCTTCGGGTGTCGGTTACTCAAGTCGAGATTCTACTCGATAAGAACCGCTGATTGCCCGAATGCTGCCCTTATCAGCGCTTTCTGCCTGGCGAGTCCGCCTTGCTAGTAGGTTAACTAGCAGGGGTCCGTAACACTATAATATTATAATTATATATTAAAATACTTATCTTAATTTAAATTAAATTATAACTTAACTTACTGTCCAGACTATAATTATATTTATTTAATACTAGACTAGAACCTTTTCTAAATTAATTACTTATAATTGAAAATTTACTACAATTTAAATACAGATTATATATAAGAAATAAAATTTAAATCTTACTAGTAGTCCCGGCAGAACAGCTACTAATTTATTTATAATTTTTAATTAATTTAATTTAATTTTTTTTATAATTATCTCGGGGTTTACAATACCAGAAATTTAAAAATATTCTAATCTTAATATTAATAATATAATTAATTTATTAGAGTTTAGCTAATATTATAATAAGTTTTTAGTTTCTATACAAATAATACTAAGTTTAAATTAATATTTAGATTAATAAAACTAATTCTATTTCTAAGACTAGATATCTCTAAGAAAGAAATCATATATATATCAGTAATTACTAGCTAGAATAATAATAAGTTAACTCTAAGTTATTGATATAATAAAATATAAATTTCTTTTCTAATAATACTAGATTTAAGCTTAACAGAATAATTACTAGATAAAATTAGAAAAAGATTATATTTATAATATATTATTCAATATTATTATTTCTCTGTACTACTATATACACCAGAATTATTATAATAAGTTTTATTATAATCTTTAAATATATTAAGTTTTTAAGTTTAAATCTAGTTAAACTCTATTATAAAACTAAAGATAATATTCATAAAAATTAATAAATTACCAGCTAGCTAGTTCTTATTAAATATTACTAGAGCTAGTTTTAGTATTTCCAGCTATATTAATATAAGTCTAGATAAGTTAAAATTTAAACTCTATATAAACTCTATATATT